GCTGGATTGAATTGGCATTGTCTCTTGGAGTTCCTTGGGCTAGGCCTGACAATTGGGAAGGCAATAAACATCGCATAAAAAAAAAGGTAATGACAAACCACTTCCCTATAGGAAAAGAAAACAGGCATGGCCATGAAGTCACAGGAGTCAAGCCCCACTTGGAGATTTTACCTTTCCTGAGTTTAAAATATTATTTTCATACGTCAAAGGAATTATTGGATTGCTGTTCTATGTTTTCGGAATGAATTGGTTCCAAACTGTGTATTAGTTCAATCTCCCTTGTCCATCTAATTTTATTTTGCTTCGGATTCTACTAATTTCCCTTTGGGTTCAAGGGTAATGAGCCTTGTAATGGCCACACCCTTCAGGGCAGCCATTTTGTTCACATGCAAGCTCCCACATACTAGAATGTCTGTAAGACGCTCTCAGAATTCCAAATGTGCCCCCTAGCCCCAAAAGGTGGTGGACACTGGCTTTATTTTAATAAAGTTTTGAGAAGTATTCCTGCCCTATATAGTTATTCTTGCGCTGTGAGCTGCCTGGACCACACGTATGGGGAAAAGCAGCTTAGAAATTAAAACAACATGACTCGCAGGAAAGGAAAACTCTAGAAATCCCTGAATTTTTTTATTACTGTGATTAAAGTGCAAATGAAAGAAAATAGTGGCTTTCCTCAAATAACAAGCAGATTGCACAATAAGGAAAAATGTTCTACCATATTCAGTCGAATAAAGCAAATAATTCAACATGCCAGGGGGGCGGGGGCTTGGAACGGGGGGACATGCCGCTGAATACTCAAGTGAAGAGGTTTTTGGGAGGTTTTTTTTAAGGAAAAAATAGAGTAAATTAAAGAGAGGTCCTCTTCCACCTCTAAAGTCACATTTGAAAATTATAAATTTTGAATTTTTTTTTTTTAATTAGTCATGTGAGTATTGGAAAACCGCAACTGTGAGACAGCATATGCCTGTAACTTCTCTTTGCTATTATTAGTTCTTGCTCCAGACCAAAGTAAACAATGCCAAGATAAAATCTTTTGCCCTATCTAGATATATTGCCTAAGAGCTGTGTATTTTGATTTCACGGTTCTTACTATGGATTATGAAATTTTCAAAGCTTAATGGCCACTTAACCTGGACAAAGACAATAAAAGAGAAAGAAATGTTTGACACAACATTGTTATGCCACTATATTGTGATGGTTCAGACATATGAGGACTTAATCTTGCTATGCAGGTAGACTCAATGCATAGTTCTCTAGTTCTAACAAAACAAAGCAAATGATTTCAGTCAAGAAGAGGAAGACATTATCATGGCTGGATTGATACAACATGCTAAGCCAAAACCAAAAGCACATATGACACCTTAGTATGATATATGAACACAATCTACGTGTAATATATACCTGCGTGTTTATTCATGTAGTCATGGTTTGACACTGAACTAAGCAGCCATAGTACATTCTCAAAGATCCCATAAACAGCCCCCCCAAAATCTACAGCAATGAG